CAATTTATATAAGCAGAATTAGTTTCAAACTAGAAGAAGCATTTCTGGCAGCCAGCTCTAGTACAGCAGTTGGGAGCAATTCTGACAGAGTATAGTTTTTCTTGTAAATGTGTCCCTTTACGAAATGACGGGTGGATTTTGGTAGGTGAATGTAAGAGCCCAAGGTGAAGGAGCTCAAGGAGCTCTCAAGGAACTGAGAAAGTTAATAGAAAATCTAATTTTTAGCTGAAAGCAGAACTTTTGAAACTATTTTCATCTCACAAAAACACTCGTAAGACTTACTTTTTTCCAGAACAGAACAAACTCGTGCTTGTAGCTCTATAAAAATGCATTGCAGAAAGAAGCTGCCGTTTCATGATCAGCTCTGGCTGGTGCAGCCTTCTCCTGCCTGGGGGCAGCTGCAGGCTTCACTGCCCATCATCAAGGCTTCACCCATGGCTCATCAGCTTTTCTTCTGTCCCCAGTGGCATCAGCATGTTTTAATTAATAATCATGTTAACAAAACAGTGGTAGATGCTGCCTGGGCTAGAGATGTGCGGGGCATCCTGCGGCTGGGTGCCACATCCGGACAGCCAGGGGCAGCTGAAGGCAGCACGGGACAGCCACCAGTGAAGCACGGGCGTGGGGGCGGTTTCTTTGTACACAAGAAAATCTTGAGTGGTTTTGTAGCTCATTCACTTCTAAAGTTTTACTTTCTCTGTAGTTTTGACAGACCATAATGCGAGTGGCAACGTGAATCCGAGAGAAGACAAAAGACTTCGCCAGAGACTTATAGATTCTTCGTGCTGATGCTTCCCTGCTGCAGGAGGCAGGAGCTCAGTTCTGCAGGAAGGCTTTTCCTCTGCCTCTGCTGCACTCAGCACAAGGTGCTGCTCTTTGAATGCAACTGTCTCCATCGCCTGACAGTTCCCCAGAGGCCAAACTGGTTTACAGACTACTTGATATATATTGAGGAGTCATGCACCTGAAAAAGCATGTTGTAGACTTTCGTTATTTATTTAAAAAGACCCCAAACAAACTGCCCCCAAGGAGCAACAAGAATAAAAGATATCTCTCATGAGGGACGAGTGACGCGCATTGAATGCAGTCGAAGCTGGCAGCTGGAAAGAGCTCACACCACACTGTACAGGGATGGCAAACATAACCCTGCATTGTAACAAAAAGAGATGACCACGTTGCATCCCGGAGTGTTGGTCTTCTGGGAGTGGCCATCTCAGTTCTGGGGTTTAAGTAAGGTAATTTTGGGCCCTCTGCCCTGGAAAAGGGGGTTGGGAGTGGGTTTTTTTAGAGAGTCTGGTTAATCTGTACCAGGTGGCGGCTGGCCACTGATACTGGTTGTGTCTTCATGGGAAAAATAGAGGTTGCTCTGTTCAGCCTAAGATGTCTTGGTTAGTCATACCAACATTCATGTCTTGGCATTAAGTACTTGTCACTGGTGGAAAAGAAACTACAAACAGGCTTAGAATAAGGGAGTACTGTAAATATTAGGGATTTTGAATTTTCTATGTGTTAATAAATTAATAATGTCTTAACACCTTTTATTACAAAATGTACTGGTATGTAAGCTAAACACTAGTTTAATTTCTCTCTCTTAGTTGTTTTGGTCTTAGTGTCTTAACAAAATTGCCTTGGAGTTTTGGACTGAAGATCAGTGAAGTTGGTTCCATTTTTGTAATGCTTTGTTGAAGTTGTTTCACAGTGTTTTTATGTGTGGAAGCTTTTTAGACATGTTTGTAGTATCAAATGCAATATTAGTCTTGCTGTTTTCCAAGCCACACTTGAGAAGACAGACTTTGTATTACAGTAGCACCTGAAAGCCTCAACGGAGCCAAACACCTGATAGCCAAGGTGAGGTAGATGTAAATACGATGAAAGGTGGTTCTCCACACACACCATGTGACTGTATTTTAATTAAAGATAAGATGCTGAAGTGGATTGGAACAGACAAGGGGGAGTGTTTTTACACTGGAAAACTCTCCTGGATTGTTATTGGACTCTGGAGAGAGCAGTATTCGGCTTTAATGTTGTCTCCCGGGCCCAGGACCTCCTCCCGGGCCCAGGACCTCAACCTTCAGTGAGTATTAAAATGACCTTTGTCTTGAAATTTTAGATAGAAGGTAAGGTGGGTGGGCGGTGAAGCACCACAGTAGCAGCGTGAATGTTTCACAAATGTCTTATGCTGATTAGTTTTTTGCTGATTCTGTATTGTCCATGTAACTGAAATGATTTGCCTTTTACCTCTCCCAAGTTGTCTTTTTAAACTGCCCAGAAGTAGGACTTCTTTTATAGCTAGATAGGATGTCCCTTTTCCGGTTCCTCTGTGTCACCCACTGTTGTGATTTTGTCTGCTAGCATTCTGCATGTGGCTGTGGATGAGGGAGAAGCAGAAGTGATTGGTGTTACCATTTTTGCACAGAACTCTTTCAAAGAGATAGTGCACCTACTTGAATTCAGTGGCTGTTGTTGAACAAGTGGATCCAAAAGTGCTGCCATACTATGGGCTAGCATTACAAGAATTTTTCAGTTATATGGCTTTCAGCTAAGACAAGTCTTATTTTAAAATAAATCTCTAAAGCCATAGTATTATGCTACCTCTGCACAGGAGAGCAGCACAGCTGCAATCCTAATGTCTGTTGCATTACCAGCAAGAAACAGGGCTTGTGTTGGATAGTGGTGGTCCAAACTGCTGAATTTTATTGCCATACTTCTGACAGCAAACCTAGAATTCCTCTGACCTTTTCTAGACTATGTGGCTGTGCTGATGTGTTGCTGATGGTCCTATGTATGTGGGCAATGCAAGTGTACATTGTGCATTGTGTGTTTTGGCAAGGAGCTATAGTGCAATAATAAGATTTTGTGATGTGGATGTATTTGAACTGTTTGATGTAAGTAGAGTTCTCAGTCTTTAAAATTCAAAGCTCCTGAAAGCTGCATGTTCATGTTTCAAGTTGGATATGTACCTAACTTTTTATGAATTCCCCTTTTGTATTTTAAAATATGACTTGCAGCAGTGAATCTCTTGTTGTCTTCCAAAAGTGCTCAATAAAATACATATAAATTCTCCTTGGTTATTTAAATAAGTCAATTCTATGAACTACAGCAGCGTAAGTAACTGAAGGTTCCAGGAACAGTCATGTGTCACCATCTAAAAACATGTAGTACAAACATGTGGGCTGATGCTAAAACCTGAGCGAGCATTTGGACAGTAGTTAAAATTCTGTATTCTCATAAAATTGTCAGAGCAACATGAATGGGTTCAAAATCTATTTAACCTTTAAACACTATTGAGAAAATGTCAGCGCATAATAAATAGACTATCCATTGTGTGAGTTACTATCTAATAATTGGCCACAGTTTCAGCACTGCACTTTACAACTGTATCTTCTTGTTTTAAGATGTGTTTCTGAACTGCCTAGCTCAAATCTACTTACATTGTAGTGGTACTGTGCCTACTGTGTTTTGCCATTTTCAAAAGCTGGGCTTAATTCCAGTGTAGGTCTGCATGCATCTGTCCTGTTGTAAATACTCCAGAAAGTAAAATGGCAACGTTAAGATTCAGCTTTGGTCCGTGCCATCCTTTTTTGACTCCTCTCTCTCCATAACTTGGCTATTAAGAGTTGCAGCTAGTGCCTCTGCACGCTCTTTGCCTTATAATGGCTCTTAGCTTCCTTATGAGATTTAAAACTTGTGATTTAAATGCAGAGAGACAGTAAAAAATGTTTATTTCATTAGCAGGTGGTGTGCCTCTAAAAGCAGCTGTATCCTGCTGTTTTTCCTCCTGTGGATGTTGTCAGTCATTTTTAGAATAAAGAGTATATTTTAGGTCCTTTTTTTCCCCTTACTGGGAGCAGTGGGTGTTGTTTTAGTAGGAGCTTTAATGACTAGTTTAGTGCTCAAGCCTAGAGTCCCATTAAATGAGCCTATGAACAAAGGATGTCCTCGCTGCACTTTGTGAACAGGAAGACATAAATCAGGTCATGAATGGTTTTCTGAAGATGGAGGTAGGAGGGATTTAATCCCTACCTCCACCACCACCACTGTCTGCTGTCTATGGTGGCTTCTGTCTATCTGAGTTAAAGCTTTGGAAGAAGGAAGCCACTTGGGTAAAACTTTATTTTTCAATAATGAGTATTATGTTGCTGATATGAGTAATCAAAAAAAACACTATTGTGCCCTATGGACTAATTAGCTGAACTTCCTCCACGGTGTGCACAGCCCACAGGAAGCTCATAATTCATTATTCTTCTTCAATGAGTTCCCATTGAGCAATGTCAGCTGGTTTTGTTATGCTGGATACTGGTTGGAATTTTAGATTGCCTGAAGGGAGAATGTCATTAAAGCCATGTACAGCCACCTGCTCTGGAAGGGACATCTGTAAAGCCAGGAGCAAGGCAGCTCAGCCCCACCACTTTGCCGATGAGCTGGGAGCTCCTGCAGGAGCACAGAGGTGTATATGGGAATACAGGAATGCTGTGTCATATGAACATGGGGGACTCTGAGCTGGATCACCAGTCTCTGACTGCTCTGTTATGGATAATTTGTGGATTTCTGTCCTGCAGGCTGTATGGCTGGAAGCATTGGAAGAGTGTTTTCCTCATAATAGAATATTTGACTTAATATACTAAATTACTAGTGTAATGATAAAAAGTAATTACTTTTATTAAACACTAAAGGATATAGTTCTGAAATGACAATGTAATGAAAATAGTAACTCTATTATGGCTTTATATCAATAAGTATTCAAATATTTATTTGCTTCAAAGCATTTTCATGTTATCAACTCTCCCCTGAAGGACTCCCAAGTGACACAAAACTCCCATTATAACACTATTTAGATGGTAAAGTTTACATTCTCTCTTTTACTTCTTCAGATTTTTTGAAGAGTCACCTCAAACTTTCTATAACCATTGAGATTAACCAAACACCTTCATGCAAACAAAATTCTGCGCCTACTAATGAACTCCCACCCAACTCAGGGGCCTGCTGAATTAGTCCTCTTAAGTCAGGTTCTTGCTTCCCCACAAAGTCCAGGGAAAGAGGTAGGTGCCTTTGAAAGCATTTGAATGGGGATGAAAATAGCCTGGGCTCACTCTGTGCTACATTTTGAATTGCTTTAGCACACTTACAAGCTTCATGAACCTAAACGAACAGAAATGAAATCTCTCAACCAGCAACAAAAGAATTGTGGTTTTGTTTGCTTTTCCCCTCTTATTTGTGCTAAATTGGGATGATAGAAATACATGCTGTTGCACAGTTCAGAACAGTGTCTCTGTGCTGGGAGTCTGAGCTGCAGGGTGAGAAGCAGAGCCTTGGGCTGCTTGTCTGTTTGACATCTCGGAATGTGTTTGCAGAGCCAAACAGAAGTACCAACTGAAGGGTTTGGTCCCTGCTGTCCTCATTGTTCAAGTGTCAGATCATTCCTGAGCCCTGTCTTGGGCTTCTTCAAGACAAATTCTGGGCAAGGCACTGAGAACAATTCACTTCTAGAGCAGCTCCCAGGAGACAGTAGGAATGCGACCATAACAACCTGGTTCCTACCACATGTCCCTCCAACAACCCCCACTAAGTTTTGTACCCTCAGAGACTCTGATGACGTGCTTTTAGGACATCTGATACATGTCTTTAGCTTCATACTATTAAAAACTAGTGACCTCTAAGAAACCTGTCACATTATGGTGGTTTTAACTGAAAAAGCATACAAAAAATGTAATTACAATGTCTTAAAATTCCCATACCCCTGTGACCTTATGGGCTCCGAGTCAAGGACTATGTACTACCACAAACCTGGTCTGCTCTAGATGGAGCTAGCCCTACATGCTGTGGAAATAAGTGAGCTAACACCTTAGAGCCAGAAATTATTTGTAGGCATGTAGTTATTTAATTGGTGTCCTGGTTTTGTCTGGTATACAGTTTCTTTTTTCTTAGTAGCTGGCACAGTTTTGGACTCAGTATGAGAATAATGTTGATAACCCACTGATGTTTTGGTTGTTGCTGAGCAGTGCTTACCCTAAGCCAAGGACTTATTCAGTTTCCCATGCTCTGCTGATGAGCAGGTATGCAAGGAGCTGGAGGAAACCTGGCTAGGACAGCTGACCCAGACTAACCAAAGGCATATTCCATACAATAAAATGCTATGCCCAGTTTATAAACTATGGGCAGTTGGCCAGGAGGTGCCAATTTGTTTTGTAGATAAAGGCAGTTTTTCTCCTGGTCAGAGATGTAATGATGACTGGATTCACCCCTTCCTCTCTAAGTATCATTAAAAGGCTTTGAGCCTAAGGTAGGGGGTGGGAGGTTTCACCCTACCAGAATTCACAGAAATCTCTTCAAGCCTGCAAACCAGAGGAGAGGCTGAGGGGGGACATGGTTCCCAGAAGAAGAAAGGATGGGCTGAAGATTATCCCTGTTTCTGTGTCATTAATGCCAGTCCAAACTTTCTCCCCTGCCCACTGTGTCACCCCCAGGAAGGAGCAGGGGCTGCCCTTCTGCTGGGCTGTGCAGGATGGGGAAAGCAGAGGAGGATCCCATCCTCATCCCCCTTTGGTGGCACAAAGAAGATCAGGAAATAAGAGAGCAAGCTACCCAGTCCTGATGTACCAGACCCAGAGGCTGTGGGGAGATATGACCTCTCTCAGCCAAGCCTCTGACAGCTGTTAGATCATGAAGGTACCTTTGCAGGGGCAGACTGTTCACAGCCCCATGGCTTCGATGCAAGGCTGTCAGACTGCGTCAGCAGCGGAGCTGGCTATGCTCACTCATCAGCACTCAGGAGATTTATGAATAAGTCAGATGTGAATAATAGTTAGTCTCCTGGGAAACAGCTATTTTAAAGCTCGCTCTGTGTGTCCATATACAGTTTTTAGATCAGTCTGTTTAGAGGACTAAGACAACCCTGAAGTTCTTGAAACAACTAGGTCCCTGCATGGCTCACGGCTCAGCACTGTGCAGATGTATTTACTCTCATCCGAGAGCTGTACAGCTTCATCCAAGTGTTGCTGAGCCCAGCATAAGCTTCCTACTCAGTGGCTTCACTGAACTAATGTAGCTGCAAGTTGGAATAAGCAGATGAGTGTGTAGCTGGCAATGGTGTCGGGGGCTCACACTGTGATCCATTAACGACTTCTATGCAGTTCATAGCCAGACTATTTTAATCGTGGTCTACCCAAAATGCATAAAAGAAATCTTGAAGTTTCACATTCAATATGTAAATGTTAAAGACTCTCAGTAATAGAATAACCATAAAATATCCTGAGTTAGAAGGGACCCACAAGGATCATTGAGTCCAACACCTTGCCCTGCACAGGGCAACCTTAAGAGTCACACCATGTGCCTGAGAGTGTTGTCCAAACACTTTGTGAACTCAGATAGACCTGGTGCTGTGACCACTTCCCCGGGGAGCCTGTTCCAGTGCCCAGTAACCTTCTGGGTGAAGGAAAAACCTTTCCCTGATATCCAACCTAAACCTCCCCTGACAGAGCTTTGTGCCATTCCCTCAAGTGCTGTCACTGGTCACTGGAGAAAAGAGGTCGGTGCCTGTCCCTCCAATTCCCCTCGTGAGGAAGCTGTAGACCACAATGAAGTCTCCCTTTCTCTAGGTTGAAGAAACCAAGTGACCTCACAATAATGGGGGTAACTGCTCTTTTTTTGTGGTACCAAAATGTAGACAATTGTATCAACTTTTGTTAAGGGCTTTTCCAGCTCCAGAGATAAAAATCACTCGCTGTATCAGCTATTAGAGGCTAGTTAATACATTCATTAAGGAAATTATGAAGAGATTTATGCTTATCAGAAGAGTGTGATTTTGAAATCTTTGGACCGTTAAACAAAGCTTGGAAACGGTGCCTGATACTCTTTGAAAATGCTGGAGAAAAAATGACATTAATGTGTCTGAAGTTACAGGACATTGTTACATTTTCAGCAGCTGCCTTCTCACCTTTGAATCTGCCAGCTGAGAGGAGAAGCTATTCAACCCACGCTGACAGGAAAAGAGGTGGGCTACCATGCAGTCAGAAACAATACCAACCAAAGCTGAGGTTCCTTTCTTCTGTGCTTGTCTTGAGAAACTTGTCATCTTTTCTCTGCATGATCTCAGCATTTTTCAATGAATCTCGTCTTCCTTTTATGTGTAAGAGCAAGAGGCTTTGACTCTGCTATGCACTGTTATTTTTGCCTGTATGCTATGAATTTCCTCTGATGGCTGCAGGTACCATGCTTGAGCTATTTGTTGCTCCCCTTTGGATGAGACAGCCTCTGACCTGGCTTACTGATAATTAAGGCAGGGAAAGGAAAGTATCCATGAAGAAAACACCCTCCATTTATCTCAGCTAGGGAGATGGTCTTTGCCATTTTTTTTGGCTGTGACAGAAACTTCTCTGTTACAAAAAACCCTATGCAGTGGAATAAGGAAGTAGATTTTTTCTGCTGAGCACCACAGTGTCTGATGGCAGCAGCAGCCTGTGCTCTACTGCTAAAGACTTTCAGACTGATACTGAGGGTGAGCTAGTGAGAAGGATATGGAGGATGATTCTGCCCATCTACTTGCACTCTCATGAGACACGCCCACCCCTCCCCTCAGAGTGCTACATCCAGCTCTGGGGTCCCCCAAATGAGAAGGACATGGCATGTTGGAGCAAGTCCAGAGGAGGCCACAGAGATGATCAGAGGGCTGGAGCACCTCTTCTAAGAAGACCAACTGAGACAGGTGGAGAAGAGAAGGCTCCAGGAAGACCTTGAGGCAGCCTTTCAGTAAAAGAGAGCTTATGGGAAACACTGAGATAGACTTTTGACAGGGCATGTAGTGACAGGACAAGGGGGGAATAGCTTTAAACTGAAATAGGGTGGGTTTAGATTAGATATTAGGAAGAAATTCTTGACTGTGAGGGTAGTGAGGCACTGGCACAGGTTGCCCCGAGAAGTTTTGGATGCCCAATCCCTGAAATTGTTAAAGGTCAGGTTGGATGAATCTCTGAGCAACCTGTGGGAGATGTCCCTGCAGGGGGAGTTGGACTGGGGAGATGATCTCTTAGGTCCCTTCCAATCCAAACCATTCCATGATTCTATGAAAGAGGGAGTGAATGAAAAGTGGAAGCTAAAAACCTGACCTGACATCAAGAAGGGCAAGAAAGGTTTCATGCATCTGTTTTCCCCTGAGTGCTATTCAGAATAGCATAAGCCGCAAAATAGAGCCTGGCATTGTCTTTGTTCCCTTTCAAGGTCTCTGCATAATTCTACACAGAGAAAATTATTAAAACATTAGGAATGTTGTTAGAAATTGAGAATTAACATTCATCAATTTCTAAAACTTGCAAGTTAATTTTCATAGGCCTGTTGTAATATTTTTCAAGGAAATAGAAAAATAAGGAAACAGTACTGTCAATACAAATAATTTCACTTCTGAGTAGAAAAAAACACAGCACTCTCTAAATTATGGAAGTTGCAGACCCGGTTACTCAAGGTTTGGGAGATGCCAGCATTAACTTTGACTATGTGACTCTAGCTGAGTTCCTTTATTCACAGGTGTATTGGTTTTGCATGGCCAGGTTTTGTTATCAGGGGCTCCAGGGGTGGCTTCTGTGAGAAGCTGCTAGAAGCTTCCCTCATGTCTGTCAGAGCCAATGGCAAGTGGCTCCAAGATGGACCTGCTGCTGGTCAAGTCTGTGCCAATTAGAAATGGTGGTAATGCCTCATATCAAGGAAGAAGAAAGAAAAGTTATTGCACAGATGTAATTGTGGCCAGAGAAGAGTGGAGTCAGAATATGTGACAGAAACAGCCCTGCTGTCTCCAAGGTCAGTGCAGAAGGAGGGAGCAGGGGTGCTCCAGGTACCCAAGCACAGATTCCCCTGCAGCCCTTGGTTCAGGTCCTGGTGAGGCAGCTGTACCCTGGCAGCCCAGGGAGGTCCATGGGGGAGCAGAGATCCACCTGTAGCCTGTGGAGGAGATCCATGCTGGAGCAAGTGCATGCCCAAGAGGGTTGTGAACCCTTGGGAAACCCATGCTGGAGCAGGCTCCTGGCAGGAACCTATGGGCCTGTGGAGATGAGCCCACGCTGGAGCAGGTTTCCTGGTAGGACTTACGGGAGACCCACTTTGGAGAAGGCTGTGCCTCAAGGACTGCACCCCATGGAAGAGTGATCCACACTGCAGCAGCTCATGGAGAACTGTTGCCAGGGGGATGGACTCACACTGGAGTGGGGGAAGGACTCCTCTCCCTGAGCAGTGGCAGAAACAACCTGTGATGAACTGATTGTAACCCCCATTCCTCACCTCCCTGCACTGCTGGGGAGGAGGAGGTAGAGCTGGGAAGGAGGGAGGGGTGGCATAAAGGTGTTTTTAAGATTTATTTTATTTCTCATTATCCTGCTCTGATTCTGTTAGTGATAAATTCAGTATCCGCAGGTCAGGTCTTGTTTGCCCATGATGGTATTCAGTGAGTGATCTCCCCCTGTCCTTATGTCAACCCATTAACCTTTGTTATACTTTCTCTCCTCTCTTCTCTTGTGAAGGGGAGTGACAGAACAGCTTTGGTGGATGCCTGTCATCCAGCCAGGGTCAACCCACTATAACATACCAGATGATGCATTCTCTATATGAAATAAATTTTCCCATAAAACTCTTGTTCTCAGGCTCTGTGGATGTCCTGCAATGAACAGTTCAGTGCCTTGTGAAACTCTTTGTTATGCAGTCTACTCCAGAGGCACAAGTGTGAAAGCTCCAGAGGGAACAACCAGGCCAGTTTAAATGAATGACCTACACTGACAACCAAAGACATGTCTGAGGGCAGTCAGACTGGTGAACTCTGGGGCAAAAGTGATCCCAGGGCCAGAGTTGTGGTGTGATGACAGGAAGATGGCCACAAGGTCACAGGACATCACCTGTACCGTTGCTGTCCCTCACCCCAGGGGAGGACAGTCCACACTTCTAAGTATGTGGCTGTGAGGGTGGGAGTGAGAGAGTGGACTTGCAAGTCAGCTAAGTCAAAATAACCTTCCATTTCCATAAAGCCTCATGTTTCACTCTGATTCATCATATTCCCAGAGGGAAAAGAAAAGCCTCCCAAAACCGTGATCTTTACCATGCTCCAGAGCAACCCGTCCCTTCTCACACCAATGTCCCCCACAGGCTTGTTTCTGCAGGTCTGTTTTTCTTGGAATAGCTACTAAACCATCTGTTTCAGAGCCCTGCACACCTCCAAAATTCAAAAGGTAGCAAATAGTCCAGCTGCAGTAGGATTAAAATTAAAAAGCAGAATTAAAAAATTAAAAAGGATAATCTCCACCCTGTACATGTATCTCATTTTATCGTCACTCAGATCCTCGCTTCACATTGACCAAGATGGTATCTGAATGCAGTTTACACACCAATGACTGTATTAGCATTTTAAAAGAACCTTCTAGTCTGCAAGAGAGATGGGGTAGAACGAAAAAATACTCATGAAACCTAGATGCCCAGGTTATATTGCCCAGGATGTGATATTTTTGGAATAGCTTGCATCATACTGCACTTTTTGTGCACAGATCACAACCCCCCACTGATTTCAGCAGCACCAGTGAATGCAAAATATTTCTCCAGAATTCCAAATCAGATACAAAGAAAATGAAAGGTAGCTAATTATCAGAAATTGCCTTGTAGCACATTAAGCACATTGCAGCACAGCGTATGATGTACAGTTCTCAAGGACACCATTTCTAGTGCTTTAACCAAGTACCTCTCTTGCATGGTTCTGTCCAGTTCTCTCTGAACCTTGTACCTCTGCTGGCCACCAGCCACCAGTCCATTTCTGGGCAGGCTGTTAAGGCTCACTGTCCAATCTGCCTCTTCTTTTCTTTTTACCCAGGTCATACCTCCTGTTCTTCTTAATTAAATCAAATGGCTTCGACACTTCTTGCCCCCCTCTGTGCCCAGACTCAGGACTGAGCAGAGTCTGTAAGAAGAAAGGTTTGCCACCAGAGCTGTAACTGCAGGAGCCCCGCTCAGACTCACCTGGACCATTTGAGTGGGTATCTGAGGATTTTGCCTGCTGGAGTTACAGGAAGGTTCTTGCATGTGTAGCAGTTTGAAGGATGATAACTGCATTCAAAAATAATGGATCTTAAGATGTTTCCTTCGGCTTCAGAAAGAACATCTTACTGAGGTACTCAGCACTCCCAAAGATTTACTTGCTAGTAAAGAGCTGGGATCTGCTATCGCTGGAATGGAGAGCATTGTTCACCAGCTGTGCACATTTGGGAAATGAACAGAATAGAATAGAATAGAAAGTTCAGTTGGAAGTGACCTACGATGACCATCTAGTCCAACTGCCTGACCAATTCAGGGCTGATGTGTTGCAAATGCTAAGGGAGGAAATGGGACTTGGCATAAGGGTTGAAAGAAGGCAGGAGGAAAGGTTTGATTCTGCAGATCAGTGATACAAAGTACTGTGAACTCGGGGGGCCTTGATAAAGGGCAGTGAAATAGCACTGAATTCACAGTGAAAGACTGATAACACCTTGTGAAAAGACTGGTTAGCTGAAAGGAGTGGTTGCTATTTCAGTCTCTTCAAATACTCAGGTGTGAAAGTCCTCCACGAGATTTAAAATTATTTCAGAAATTTAAGGTTATTACAGGAATTTGGGAAAAAAGAGTTTATTTTTTTTTTTTCCCATTTATAAAAGAAGATTTTTGTCACTTCATTGCTGACTGCTGAAAGATGAATGGGGCAGCCTGGTGTGATGTTCAAGCTAATTTCCACAGCACAGGGACTTATTGCTTTTCTGTGCAATATAAGGTACAGTTTTTTGGACCACCATGTTTTTTGTTATTCAAACCCATATTTTTTTCCACTAAGAACATTAAGTTCTGCAAAGTACTTCAGACAGCTGTGGTCGTGAATTTTCTTAGCCACCCCAGAAAGGACACATCTCAGTTATCTTTATATGCACTGAAATTGTGCAATCACCAGAGGATAACTTGTAGAGAAACGTTCCACTTTGATTACTTGCTATCAGAGATATCATCCCTTCTCTCAAAGTCATTCATTTATAAACTGATTTCAGAGAGCTAACATCTTAGTTGAGATGAAATGTCCCAAATGTCTGAACTGACAAGTATACAGGTGCTTTACAGGGTAAGAGAGTAACATTCAAAGGCAAAAAAGTCAAACTGTGGGATCCTTTAGCTGACACTTGACAATAATGCAAAGATGTTCTGATCAAAAGGTCCTAGTCCAAACTCACAGTAGCATTTAATTATCTGTTCTCCAACTGTGGATGGTATGTCCAGCTTTCTCCAAAGTAGCTTTTTTGGGGTTTAGTTATCTATTTGAAGAAAAGCTATCTACTTAAGCATAGAATAGGCATCCATTTTTCTCCAAATCTACCTTAGAGTCTGTGATGTAAGCAACTCCTCTATTTGTCGATGTCCATCATATCCTCCACTTCTTTATGGGTATTTCCACCACAAAAAAAAAGAACTTGTGAATTACAGTTGTTTGTTCATTCTGAACAGAGCTTGACTTTTCAGACCCTAGTTCAGAGAGGATGCTTTCCTACACAGTTGCACTTGATCTAAGCCAGCAGCCTAAAGGTCTGCATCTCAGTCATTTCCATGCTGCTAGGAAGAGACTTAGAAATGGAAAAGAGAGGCCTGATGTGATTAGATTGTTGCTTTAGTGTTTAAGTATCAGCAAAACACACACACAATCCTAGCAGTAAAAAGGCTTAGTCATGCAGATAGCAGTGACATACATGCAGACAGTCCCGTACTGTAAGCCAGTCCAAAGTCATCTTGACAAAGACAAAGAGAGTTCCTTCCTGGGAAGAGTTTGCTTCCTCCCATTTATGGGCTCCACACCTTTGCCATCAGCCTGCATCAAACATGCAGCTCTTTCATATTGCCTCCTGCAGAACCTGAACCTCCTTCTTGGTTTTATCACATGTGGTTGCACAGCCCCTAAGTAGGACAGGGCTCCACATCTTCAGACCATTTTAGCTCTTGCCAAATCTATGTGCAGTCCTTACAGATTTCCCAGGGCCACTGTTTAGCTCACAGCTACTATTGGCTCCACTGCAGAGATATCTGTCTTTCCTGACTGGATGTTGGAGGATGACGGAAGGATATGGGAGACCTGCAATCTCTTGAAGTTACCATTTTCTGGCCAAGCCAGTCGGTAGGATGGGGCCGTGGAGGGAAGCCTCTGTTCTGTGGGCCTGGGAGGTTTTCTGCACATGCTGAGCAAAGCCTTCAGTTCTGATCGGAAGCTGTCATTGAGCCAGCAGTAGATGAAGGGGTTGTAGCAGGTGCTGCTCATTGCAAACCAATGGAAGACAAAGTACAGGGCATTGTTGGTGTGAATGGTCTGGCTGGAGAGGAGGACAACGTAGCAATTCAAGGGAAACCAGCAAACTGCAAAGAGGATGACAACAAGCATCAGCATCTTGATGGTCTTCTTATTCTTTTTGCGGAGGACGAAATACTGTTCCGTGGTGACATCCCCAATGACATTGCGCAGCCAGAGTTTCTTTGCCACTGTCATGTAGGCAGCAGAGATGATCAGGAGGGGCAGGACGTAGAGCAAAATGAAGGTTGTTAAGTCAAGGTACTTCCAAAAGAGGTCAGCAGGCTCAGGGAAATCTGGCAGACACAGGCACCGGGTAACCTCCTCACTGCAAATGGAGATATGGAACAGGGGATGAGAGGACATATGGCTGGGCACGACGGGAAAAGTACATCAGAAACAAGGAGGCAGGTGGGAGAGGGCTCCTGCCATAAAGCCTGAAAGCAAATCCTTTGTCTATCTGTTTGTCTGTGATATCTGTCAGAGCTAAGCAGAGCTCTGCTGTCCAAGGATCTGAGCCATGGAGCAGTCAGTGAGCAATGTGGTGGTAATTTCTCATGGGCATTCATGACCTTACAATAATGTTATGAATTTCACCAATTACAAAATTTCCAGCTGCACATAAGCAGGTTTTTATTTTCTGTCCTTTGGCAAACAGGAACACAGTCTCTGCACATATTAGGGACCTTTCCCTCATTAAAGCACTTTCCAAATATTAAGGCTCTTGACAGCATTTTATGGAACAAGCAGCTGAGGCATATTTTTCTACTTTCCCAGGCTAAAGAGTAGATTAAAACCTGTTGGGTTTTAGTTTGTGGGGTTTTTTGGTTGTTTCCCTCCCCCCCCCCGCCATGTATGGTCTGCCCAGATTGATATATGGTGTAAAATGCCAACGCATAGAGGTAATGGGTCCAGGCCAGACTCTTTAACTTTTAGCCTGTTTCATGTGATTAGTGTGACAGAACAAAGATAAAATAATTAAAAATGGAAAGGGTAGGATATCAGACATAGCAAGAAGAACCAGATGAAAATTATAGACTAGATCCATATTTGGCTGACCTTGACATATGTTCAAAGGCTTTCAATAGAAGATCCCAAAGCAAGACTGCTGCGAGTTTGGCCTCCAGGGAGATTGTGGAGGAAAACATCCTTACCTGTATTCAAAGGTAAAGAGCTTTTGGTAGATAGCATGTGGTAAGGAAAAACAAGCTGCCATGATCCAGATTACAGAGATGTAGATAACACCTTTTCCAGTAGATATGCGAGGTTTCAGAGGGTGCATTATAACCTGTGCAAAATAAACCAAAATTCAGGCTTATTACATTTCAGGAAATAATGATTTTTTTGTTTTAATACAATCTTCCAGCCTTTAATCTATTGCTTAATGTGGAAATTCAGCATGCAAGCAGTACAGTCTTCACACAGCTCCCATTGACTGTAAGCTGTACATAAAAATTTGAAGCTTTCCTCTGTAAATATGGGTCAAGTGAGATCCCAGTCCAACTCTCAAATTTCAGTATCTGCATCTAGATGAGAAAAACTGGGTACCAGCAGTACCCAGTCTTGACACACATTCATTTCCAGGTTCAGTTTATTTTATAGTAAAAAAAAAGAGGAGAAACTAAGTCCCAGACTCTTCAGTATCAGTGACCCAAAGAACCAAAGGCTTGTGATGTAACCAGACCTCCCTGGGAATGCTTCTGACAGTCAGTGCATTTTCTGGAAACAATCTCTTTCTAGCAGAAAATGCCAACTGTTTTGTGTGGTTGATGGGTGACTTCAAACTGATAATGTCCAACTGTCCCCAGTTTTGAGCCCATTATCAACAGCAAGCCACAGCTCTGCTTGTGATAAACAGCAGTGTGCTACAGTCAGCTCTCCAGTATTCAGAATAACAAGGGGTGAGACATCCCAGAGCAGCAGGAGATGGAGCTAAGAAAGCTAACTGGGATATCCCTACAACCTCGGTGCTGGACACACCACCCCAGAGGAGAGCTGTCCATGTGAATTCCTATCAGGATCTTTGACTTTCTCCTTGTTTGAGAGCTACTGGATTATCTGCCACGTAAAAGCTCCCTTTACGTAGCTGGAAGCGATCGCAAGGCAATGGACACCTCCCACTTCCCACCTTGCTGCAGGCTTGAAACTATTCTCTCCATCTGATAGCAAGGACTGCCCCCTACCCTGGGAGCTGAGAAGGAAAGGATATGGGATCATCCTTTCTCAGTTTACTTATGCCCTCCCAAGCTTTCCGTCTCGGTTTCAGAGACCTCTCACCTGGTGCCTGTCCACAGCAATGGCTGTGAGGGTCAAGGCAGAGACATGGAGGGAACAGTACTGCGCAAACCTACTGACATGGCACATCCCCTTCCCGAATATCCAAGTACTGTTCACAAAACGAGCCTGAAATCAGAAGATCATTAGTTTTGTGCACCCCCACAACTGCTTATAGATACACCCCCATCACATAGATCCCTGTGCTCTGTAAAAGATACTTTTAAGATAGCAGGTTCTTTGTATAGTTGTATAATTTTCTGCCTTCTGAACTCTGAAGAGGCAGGTTAGTGCTGCTCAGTGGCTCGGCAAAATCCTCCAGGACAATACAGCAGCATGATAACAAAGATGTTTGTTCTGTTTTATTCACAGTGTATCCTTCTGCAGCCTAATTACCAACTCAATACATTTTAAGCTTTTTTAAGCCCTCCTTACAGAGGAGGGCTGACTTCTACATCCTATCTCACTTCAATGCAAACTACAGCTTTTCAACACAACTTGTAAAATGATGGTGAGCATTTATTTTTTTCCCAAGAGAATCATAGTATTATCTTGGAAATACTTCAGAGAAGAGAAAGTACAAAGTACTAAGTAATCACTGCAAGGTTACTATTGTTCAAGTACTATCAGGGCCACTTTTAACATACTAAGTAGTCACTGCAAGGTTACTGTTGTTCAAGTACTATCAGGGCCACTTTTAACAAACGGATAATTTCAGATCTCCAACTAGATAACAGGAAAAAATAATGTGGAGTTTTCCAAAGGCAACTCCAATGACTGTACTTTGGAGTGGACAGGTATCTTGCAGAACATCCACTCCCTGTTTTACTGCAGTGTAAAGAAGAAAAGGCCACTGAAAGTGCCTTTATGGTATCTCTGCCCCAGTCTTACCAATGTAAAAGGTGTGTTGAGGAGGGTGATCATGATATCAGCTACAGCCAGGTTCACAATGAACAAGCTGGTGGCAGAGTGCATCCGCTTCGTCTTGATGACAACGTGACAGACCAGGATGTTACCAAAGAGGGAGAAGACAATGATGAACGAGTATGCCACAATGAGCAGGGCTTTCACCGTGATGCTCTGTGACTCCGCTCCGTACCGGCTCCTGTCCACAAAGCTCTGCCAGTCGGCCAGGCTGTCGTTATCCCAGGAAAAGAAACCTGATATGTTCGGGATTTCAGAAGTCTTCTCCAGGCTCCCATTGAGGGGCAACTTCCCCGGGATCACAAAGGCGTTAACCAAGTCGGGAAGGGTGAGCCAGACGAAATAGGACAACATCTCTGAAATGCCGCTCTGCTCCTCCAATTCGGAAACAGCTTCGGAAACAGCTCATTTGCGAGAGGGCAGAGCTCACGCCGTGCGCTGGGAGAGCCGTTCTCCCTTCATTCAGCCCGGGCGCTCCCTGAGGCTGCAAACACGGCACACGAGAAGCTGGAGCAGGCGGATGCTCCTGTCTCCCGCAGCCTGCTTCTCTCCTGCTCAGCTCGCAGCTACTTTTGCTCCTTCAGCCAGCTTTATACCCCCGGGTGAGCTCCGAGCCGCGATCTTCTGCAGTCATTGGGCTGCATGACATTATTTCTGCTCTGACGTGCTGCTTTTCCATGCAGTTGCACTCCCCCGGGTGCTACTCCAAGGTAAGTACAGCTGTGGGAAAGGCAAAATCAATCTCTTCAGCTGTTGGAATCCTTCTTTACCAGCGGCCCATCTCATGCAAATTCTGTGCTATTTATACGCCAGATGCGTGTGTGCCAGCTCTGCTCTCTTCCAGGACAGGTCAAATCTGAGCTGGTTTAAAGGTCTGGCAGGAAATTTTCAGCCTATTTCACAGCATGACGCTTACACAGAATAGAAAAGCATAGAATGGGGGGGTAAGAGATGAACTATGAACAAGCTGGCTTACTGTATTTTTCCAAAGACCTTTTTCACTCAGAGAGACAGAGAAATACTGAAGTTTCCTCTTGGGTGGTATTTCCTCTCGGCCAAGGGAATAAAAGTTTGATGTGAAACTGCTTTCTAGGGTTTGTAACTACTTAGTTACAAAGAAGTGATTACATGGGACAGAGGACAGGGATGGATGTCCTAGCCCAGGGAATTCAGTATCCAAAGCAACAGGCAGCTGTACACTGGACACAAGCACTGATGAGATGGCAGCACGTGTGTTCCCTCTGCCTTCCTCACAAAACATAGTAGGAAATAGAAAATCAGTACCAGGAGACCAAGAGCCACAAATCCTACACAGCACAGAAAGATGTGCCAACTCCCAAGCACAGATGTAGGGTGCTGCCCCACTGCTGGGGTCAGATCTGCTTGGGTGGTGTTAACTAATTCCAGCCAGAGGAACTTTTGTACATAAAAGACTTTATTTAATCATTAATAGAAGACCATTATCTGAAAAGCTTGTATTATAAGTTGGTCACTCTTTTCCAGAAGATAGTTTTGATTCCCTCAGTGAACAGCTCAAGCTGCTCTTTCATCACAGGAGTTGTATGCAGCAGGACAGGTGGAATGGCCAGCCCAGAGTGCTCCTCTGCAAAATGCTGCCAGGGCCTGTTTCTTCCATAGACCTGTCCAATTTGAGCTCTTTTGGCAGCTCGCCTGTCTCAGAGGAAGCTTTCCGGTAAACCTGCTGGAGCTGACGAGGTGGCAGTGACCTCTGGTTATTCAGACAGAAGAAAGAAATGTGTGTCCCAATCAGAAATGGTCAGGAAATCCCAGTCTCATATAAAGGCCCAAGAAAATGGAAAAGTGGGACAGGGCAGTGTTCTAGTATGGATTTGGGGTGAGAAGAGAGGTTGGAGGCATATGTCCCCCTTCTTGCTGGCTGCTCCAGCAGCTCCCAAGTACCCCTCCTTTTAATTGCTGCTGGCCAGTGCATAAGGGCATTGTTTTCTGACACTCAAACTCCAGTTCTTACTGTTCCATATCTATCAGATCCTGTTCCCATGCACTATAACCCATATTCCAGCAAAAATGTTCACTTTTATTCATTTACCTTACTTGACCTAATTCTTCATTTCTAGTAGGATACCCTTGCATGTGTTACCAGAGCTGCCATTACCTCTGAAGACCAGGTGCATCCAGGAGAGCAGGAGGTCTTACCTCCTCAGACAGGCTGCTGGCAGGAGAATGGGAATCTCCTCCCACTCAGCTCAAGCCCACTCTTCTCCAAGCTGGACTCAGCACCTTGTGGTTCAAAGGAGGTGGTCCAACCTCACACCGTGCAAGCTATCCGAAAATATCCACAAAGGGTCATGGAAGAAGCCCAGTGGAAGCTCCCTGGGTCAGGACTCTGCCATGTGCTGCTGGTGTGCCCTTCTCTGCTTCACATCTTTCTGATTTAGTTTGTATTTAGACATTCCCCAGTACGAGCTGTCTAAACAGCTCACCTGTGGGTGGTTGTTACTAGAGAACAGGCTGTCGTAGATTTGGCAGCTTTGGTACCTGTTCCTACCAACTTCACCCTTGCTCCACATGCCCCAGCACCCACCGACAGCAAAGGAAGCAGCACTGCGCAGGAATGTCAGGATTTGTTATGCTGAATCTGGTTTTTGTAAAAGGTATCTGTGAAATGATGCAATTTCTAAGGTTAAAAGTAATGTTCAAAATGAAGCTATATGGATGGATCATGAACTCAGGTAGTAAGAAAGAAAGTCATCAAAAAGGGCAAAAGGACCTTTGATACAACTCCTATTAATCATCTATACTTTACTAAAATCTTTGCTAGGATGCGTGTGTAACATTAGAATATAGTCCTCTTTGGTACTTCTTGAACTACAGGGAAGAATTCATTCCCACATACTATGACTAATAACAGTGCAATGCTGGGTTTAGTTCTCCTAGTAGAGTTGAAAGCATTAGGATGTTTTCCAGTTTCAGTACTGAAAACTGTATTTTTGTGTCCAACTAGTACTTTTCAGAGTTTTCAACTGTATGCGTAGCAAATTGCAAATAAGTAGAAGTTCCACGTGCTGACTCAGTCTGTGTCCATATTCATACTTTAAAACAACTGTAAATTTACTTATCTGCAAAATTCAAACCAAAGAGATGGAGTTTTCTATAAAAGATATAACCGTTAATTTTATTATCATCCCAGAAAGAAAACAGGGTTTCATGTTTTAGAAAGAACTTGCAGTTTCAGGCAGTACTTCAGAATATTAGACCCTCTAGTCTAATGCATTAAGCAACGTAACACAAAAATTATACTAAATTTCGTGCCGCCGGAAAAAAAAAAATCCCAAACCATTTCACAGAAGTGAAAATTGAAGGCAAGCCATCCTTGACAGAGGAATATCATATAGAGAATGCCTTGCAAACTGCTTTCCATTTTCTTCACCGGCTTCCACAGTCTCTCTAGCATAGTGAACCAGAAGTCACTTAGTTCTCCTTGATATTGCAGGGCTCATGAATGCATCATCCTGCAATTGGCAAACAGATATGCATTACTAGGACTAGCATGCATTCCAAGTCATAAAAAGCAAAGTCACCTTCAGATTAAACTAGAAAGCCTGGTCACAATATTTTATATTTCCTGACAGACCTGGTTTTGTTGGTTTTGATACGAAAGAGATTATCTATTGATTTAAATGTCCAGGTCACAAATGTGCAGAGAATAAAACCCAAGTTTTTGTCAATATGATCAGAACAGCTACTCTGGAATGAGGAACAATCTATATTTCAGCTGTTATCACTATGAGCAGCACATACCTTAATAAAATTATGTCCATATACACATCACACATAACAATTTACTGAGACTTGCATGAATCAAAAATACGGTTTCTTTTTGCAAGTTCAGGCAAACATGTAATTTTGTATTTCAGGTACAAGAAGAAATAGCACAGTAGGGAGAAAGGAAAATAATGTAACATTTTCTTTGAAGTGGCCAACCTCTGACATTGTTAAGGAATGGATTCTGACCATGCATGACAGTCTGTGAAAACAAACTGCACAGTGCTTGACAGTATAATGTGTATTCTATTCAGCAAAAAGCTGTGTGTAAAGTCCTACTTGTTAAATTATTGAAGAAACCATTTCCTACCAGTTCAAAGATATACTGCAAAAACAGGCATCTTAGACTTGAAAAGACAGTGTCTTAATTTTTTTTAAAAAGTGTGTTTACATAATTTGCAACAATAAACAATAAAGTGCCCTAGAAAGTAACCATTTTAGATTCAAAAAAAGAAAATGTTGCTTCTTACAAGAATAAAATACATAAAAATTAATTCAGCCAAGCATTAAAGGAGATTATGATTAGTTTATCTCCCAGGCAATTCCTGGTACGCATTTCAGCAATGACAATTCACTGATTAAGAACTGAAGGGAAGAAAGACTGTTACTTTTGAGAATTATGAATATAGTCTAATTAAAGTTGGTTGCAACAATCTAGACCTGTTAGTGATAAAAACAGTAAATTCAATTTTACTCTAAAATGCTTTATTCAAATAGCTGTAAAACAGTAAGCTCTAGAAACTTACATGTAATAAAACTAAAAAAATGCTACTATATACCATACCTCATCTGACTCAAAATCAACTCCTCTAGATGTTTGGCTTTGTGAACCTCTTTTACTAAGTGAAGATGTAGTTGACAACCTTGAAAGACACAAGGAGAAAAAAACCAAAACAACAGCATCAACATGTTCTCAATTACCAGAAATTCCAATAACTTTCCCTTCAACTTAGAGCTGGACCACCGATACACAGACTAAGAATAAACAGAAGTAAGTAGAACAATAAAAATTCTCAAACTAACATTAATTCTAAAGTTCTGATCTAGATTACCTGAATCAGTAGACTAATTCTTTTGTTACAGAAAGATAACCCACTTTAACAAGTAAAAATTTATATAGATTCTCGAAGTACTATTTCTTATGACTTTCTTAAAAATCTGTTTTTTCAGGTAATGGATCAAATCCCTGGACTTTGCTGATTGCCAGTCAGAAATAAGGCACTCAGGGTAGTATTCATGAAGCAAACCTACTGACCTTTGATTTACTTTGGAAGAAGGAACAAAAGAAGTGTCTTCTGGATCAGAGTCAACATCTATAATATCCTGAAAAAAAATAATTATAAAGCTTTTCCACAGAATGTATTTTTAGAGATAGAGTGCATAATGCTTCAGTATTATAGCATAGAACCTTTGGGTTTTTTCCAACTATACACCTACTTAGTTACAATAATATACACCTGACAGGGCTCCAGGCTAGAACTGGACAAATTTGCAAATATAGCACAAGTTTGCTCTTCAGATCTTTGATCTTGCAGAACCCCCAAAATACACATGTATATACACTATGTATCTTAGACTATGACCACAAATACAACAGTTTTTTCTCAGACAAGCATCCTACAGGTGATATAAAAGGTCTCTGAATTAACATGCAGAAACCTACTGCTGGAACTGATAGCTTGGGAACATCTGCTCATTTAGGCTAATGTTATGACCACGCATTTATTTTTCAAATCAATGGCAAAAGCAGCACAACTTCACTCATACAAGACGACGCTTACCTCAGAGTAAGCCTGAGATGAATTCAAGGAGGAGTTTGGTTTCAGAGGCTTAAAGGCTAGAATAAAACATATGGAGTATTTTTAAAGTGCTCACACAATTAAGTGCAAACAACATTACATAGTTCTTTTTATTTAAGACCTGCTTAGCATGCATTGTCTCTGCAAAATACCCTGTAAAACAAACAAGCAAAACCAAAATATAAATTAAGCCTTTGCTGGAGTCTGATAACCCAAGGATATAACCCTCTGTGCAGCTGCAGGTGCTTCCCAGTCTGGTTGAAAAACCACCAGGAACTTTAGTTCAGAAGAGAAAAATATTACTATAATTGATATTCCTGTATGTCTAGCAGTTTAGACATCAACACATCTGTTAAAATTTACTTCTCTGCAGTATTTTAGGTCATTTGCTGACCAATTTAAAATTGGGGCAATTTGCTGATTAATTTAAAACTCGCTCTACCTTTGGGCATTTTGTGTGGGATTCGTGTACAGATCTGTGAGCAGTATCTTTTTCTTTAATACTCAGATTACCTTTGCTGTTTCCTCAGAGCCTGTTCTCCCTAGCAAGCAAGAGCTACTCTCACATATGCAGGTGGCTTCTATTGCAGATAAATTTTTCTTCCCTAGTAAAAACTGGCATTTCTAAAACTCACTACAATGTAAGACTAAATTGATTTGCATTAAAGCTTACTACCTTGTAAACATCAGCCAAGTTTAAAAATTTTTTATCCCCTGAGGAATATTCTTCATAAAATAATGCTATTAAGTCACATTCTTTCTATGCTTATTTCTTCAGGAACTGCATACAGTAATATGTTCCCTCTTTCCAGTTTAAGCCATAAGTTCCTGAACATTTCATTTTACACCATGACAGAAGAACAGTGATATTCTCTTTTCCCTTTCTTTTTGCTTTTTCTCATTACTGTTAAGTTATTCTATTTCATTAGAGCTTAAAGAATCTCTCACAGCTGAATTGGACTAATAGAAATAAAAGCAATTAAGGCACTTCATCATTAAACAAACACCTGTCTTACAGTTTGAGAGAGCAGACTAGAGTAATGGACAGATCAAAAGCCTACCATCAATGATGGTATGCTTGGCAGGCACAGACACAGGCTTGTAGGTTCTGCTGCTAGAAGCTGACTCTTGGGTAGTGCTTCCTGTAGAGATAACAAACAAAATGCAAATCTGTTCAGTTGGGGTTTTTTTCCCCTTTAGTCTATCATTACTGAGTGGGAAGTCACATAAAAAAAAAAATCTACATTCCTCTTTACTCCTCAATTTCTTCCTGGAATCAAAGGCCCTCCTTACATGCAGAAGAACTGCTCTGGGTCGTGTTCAAAGCTCCACGGATACAGCCTCTAACACACAGAGCCCTGCTCTGATGGCATCACAACAGTGTTGGTGCACAGGCTCACAGAACTAGTTTAAAAGCACCAACCAAATCAGGCCCAAGACGACAGCCTTTATTTCAACTCATCCTGCTCTGAGACCTTTGGCTGTGTTAGTGAGATAACTCAAAGGAGTATAATGCTGCGGAGCCCCTGGTGGTCTAGGGGGTAAAGGCGCCGCGCTATCACCGCGGAGACCCGGGTTCGATTCCCGGTCAGGGCCACTCCCGGGCAGGTGGGGCTCGTTAGCCCTTAAAGGCAACCCACCTACGTCCTAAGGACCTCGCTGCCACCGTCCAAGCTCGCTTGGCCCCGGCAGATGAACCTTAGGATTAAAGGGTGGGCTCAGTTCCGCGCACACTGTGTCTCACCTAAAAAATCCAATGCGCAGGCTGGAAGGTGTAAAAACCTTCCCCGGATCTTCGCTCGCGAAGACTGGCCATTAACTATTAAAATAATGCTGCAAGACCCCATCTTTTCTATTTTATTTACATATAGATATATATATTTAAAATGGAAGTACATCTATAAAGGAAGAACCACTATCCCTGTAAAGTGCACAGGCACATAGCCAAGGAGCTAGTTAACTCACTTTGCTTAGAAAACACTTCCCATTTTTTCAGTCACTAGAAATATTGAAGTCTGGTAAATTACATTATAATAGAGACAAGCTGTACCTCTTCCCTATACTGATCAAATGCATTACCATTAGCAGTAACAAAGGTTTATCCACACACTTCATTGTACAGACATTCCCAATAATGCATTTTTTTAAGAGGCTACTATGTTTCCACAGTTGGGAAGCAAGATATTTTTCTTCTAAGCACAGTGTGAAAAAGTCACAACTTAAGCTTTGTAAAGCTGTATATAATAGGATACCACAAGTATTCGAGACAAATTTTTTTTTCCAGTAAGAGTCCTTAAGCAGTAAATTTCCACTGGAAGGAAGCATCAGAAGATAGTCACCTTTTAAAGAAAAAAAAGTCAGTAACTGCAGTACAAAG